CCATAGATACGAGTGTATGTGAATGGTGGAATTTGATTGTTGGCCATTGGGTTTCGGCATGATAGTCTCCAATTTGCATCAGCTTGGATTGCAGAATCGCCGAAGTTCAGCCGAAGTGATGAGTGATCGTTGCGTTGTTCGGTGATACGGATTTCAGTGCGGTGGTTTGAATGAACGATTCGATTGTTCCAGTCCATAACTGCTTTTGTTTGATCATCAGTAGTGCAGTTGTTGTCGTTGGCACCGTCTCGGGCTTGTTGGCTGGTGTTTGGATGAACAACTCGTCGTGGTCAGCGACCAAACACGGCATCTATGAGCATCTTATCAAGTCTACCAAAGGACAGCTCGAAACCACAGCTCCAGAAGAGTGAAAAGACGAAGGTTATGATGAATATTGGAACGGCATCGTGAATGTACTGAAACAGTCCAATCGTATTTGGTTGAGTTCAACTTGAAAAAATTGCTTGCGAAGCTCTGTTGCTTGTTGAAATCTCAATTTGGCAAACACACATTAATGAATGCACGTCTGTAAAAAATGTTCACTGCTCAACTTACCAGCAATATTGTTGAGCTGACATGCAATTACAACCCACGAAAGAGCTAAAGTCCATCCAAGTCTCGCGAAAGTATCATAGATTGTGGCTGAAATGACTGAAATGTCCGCAACCCCCCCCCCTTCCTTATCCTCTGGTAACCCCTTACTCGTCAACGACAAGTCAGAGAGAAACTAGGCGATTCATGCATGATCGAGAAGTTTGTTGTGAACAATTTGTCGGTTGTATTGACGAGTGAATCAATTCTTTTTGTTCAAAGAATCGCTTTGAAAATTTGAATTGGGAAAAACTATTTCAACTGGATTAGACGTAATGGCCAAACTAATGCAAAACCAAGAATCGAGGCATTTGAATGCTTTCGGTGAACGTGGTTGAGGGAGTGTTCAAAACAGAATTAAAACTGACCGTTACGATCGTACTCACAAAATGTAACGGTCGACGCAACTGAGATTCATAGATGACCAGCACAAAGAAATGTGTCAGATAAGAGCAATAAGCCAAGCGACTGAACGGTGCCCACAAGCCAAGTTCCAGGAAATCCTTTATTGGACCTGAAAATCCGCAGTGAACAAAAAACAAATTAAACAAGAGNAGCCAAGTTCCAGGAAATCCTTTATTGGACCTGAAAATCCGCAGTGAACAAAAAACAAATTAAACAAGAGTCAATTTTCGATGGACATTAGCGATCTCAGCCAACAGAAACACCATTTTGAATAAAAAGTAACTCACGATCAGTCAGCTTCGTTCAAATGAGTATTTAGTCGATCAATCACGTGAAAGGTATTTGTGAAAAGAGTGAGAATGAGATTCCGAGCCAGAACGGTCAACTCACCAGCAATATTGAGCTGACATGCAATTACAACCCACGAAAGAGCTAAAGCCCATGCAAGTCTCGCGAAATTATCATAGATTGTGGCTGAAATGACTGAAATGGGTGTCCCTTTAAGATTCTGGTGCAATCCAAGAACACAAGCCAATCCAACCGCAACACTCGAGCTGTAAGTGATGAAATCGAGCTATAAGTGATGTTATCATAATATGGTACCTCTACATACAGTACTTTGTTCTGTTTTCCAGTAATTCAAAGCAAATTTCATTTGATTTTACTGACCGAACTTTGATCGGTCATCATCACTAGTGTCGAAAAGTGCCGAAAATCAATGTGTTTGCTTCCTTCGATCTCATGGCTCCATCACAATGGACAAAAAATTACACGTTTGGTGGAAACTGGAAGATCGTTAAAAGATCAATTAAGTGATTGAGCGATTACGCGAAGGTCAATAAAAGGGAAATGGAGTGAGTATTAATGAGATTTGCAAATGATTTGAAACCATATAAAAGGAATTCGCTTGAGGGCGATGCGCAATTGTTCATCGTCTGTTGCCGTGGGTCAACGGCTATCGACGGTGACGGCGGCGATCATAATTGATCTGTTACAATAATTATCAGTCGAATAACCACATGTTTTATTATGACTTAGCAACTAAATCTTATCATGCTCATTTATCAACGAGGTCATGCATGACAATCAATTCATGTCATTTCGATGCATAACGCTCATTCTTAAGTTTTGCATACAAGTACCACGCTTATTTTATAAATATCATCGTTGCAGAATTTATTGAATTTCATGCTGTTGAAAAGTGATTACTTTTAAAAAAGAATGCTATAGATCAGATTCATTCTGAACGATAGGTGATATCTTATTCGAGGCATAAAATTTGTTTGATAAATATCGTGAGAAATCTTTTGTAACGAGACAATCATTACAGGAGATGCAGTTACTTGCAGCAGTAGTCGTAGCCGTTTTTATGCGTCTTCTGAAGG